AAAGGAAGAAGGGTTTTGCATTTGCATTGGGTTCATCATTTTGACAGAGCCAAAGTTCCCCAACTCCCAGACCACCTCACTTTGTTTACTCAATGTTAGGGTTACGTTTGCTTCTTCCTTTTCTTTTTTTTTTTTCTCTTAATTAAATCTCTACTGCCATAGAATTTCCTCAGAAATTCTGCAGCAGAGCAGGTCTCCATTCCTCCTGCTGCTGCTGCTGCAGTGATCGATCGATCGGCTGCATACATGCACTCTATACAATCAATCAATCAATCCACTGAAACAAAAACACAGATCATCCAATTCTGACGACACATGATCCCACCATCATTTTGCCCATTTCCCAAATTCCATGGCCCCGATTCTGCCGACGCGGATGTGTTCATTAGGCTTGTGCTGGACATTATTGAGATTGTATGTATGGACGTGTTTTAGACCACCCATTGGATTGATGTGGTAAAATGGTAAATGTTATTAATGAAAGTAGTAGTACTGTATTTGGTTCAGTCGGTTGATGACACTCGGTACAGAAACGATACGCTAAATATCAAGATATTTGTGACAGGCGGCTAATCTCTCTTTCTTCATTCGAACTTTTAAGGGGTTGGTTTTGCATGCGACATTCATGTGAATCGTTCATACTAAATAACTCGATTAGCATACAATGTCTCGTTTACCTAGAGAGATAGATAGAGGGGGGAAAAACAAGATGAGTCATTTGATTGATTGATTCGGCTTTACAATGACTCAATTGATGAGTTGTTGTAAACTGAGCCAAAGAGGGTGATTCTTTGCGAAATGACCCATTTTTTATTAGAGAACTCAAGTAATTAATTGAACAATAAGCAATTAAAAACGTCTATATTTCAATTCTGCTTATTTCAGAATGTCTACATTTACAACACAATGACTCGTTAAGTGTGAAATGGGAGTGATTTTAAAACGATTCTATTGGTAGATTGCTATTGTGAATAAAAAAAAATATACGAATACGTAGTGTTCCTATGTGAGGCGCCTACGTTTAATAACCTCTTTTTAATTTAAAGTAATCCCTAAGTATGCTTCCAAATTCCAATCGATTCTTCGTTTCATACACTTGTTCCCTTGGATCCTTTGAAATGTATATTATTTATTATAGGGGGTCGGTCGATTTAATTGTATATAGTTTAGGTCATAACAACGTTCAATGTATATAATCATCAATTTAGGTTCTTGGACCGACACTAATCATAGTACTAAAGAATGGAATTTGTCATTCGCCAGATGTATTTTGTAGTATAATTTATTTGATCTAATTATGTATGTATACGAGAATACATGTTATTTTCTGGTTCCATTAAAGCCACAACAATCGTAATATTATAGTTAATGATTCTCTATTATGATTTCGAACATGCCAAACAACAGAAGCCATCAAAATTTACAGGAAAAATGACATAAATATCAATGGTTTTCGATTCTTCATCTTTTGCTACAACGTAGCCACTCAAATCCGATAATATATATATATGATGAATTTAAAGTTTTAATAATCTCACATTAACATTCTCACTACCTCTAAGAGCCCATTCATTCATAAATTTTATTCATTTTCAGGAAAGAAACTTGGAAGTTATCATTATAATTAATTTTTATAAAGCAGTAGTGGAAGTGCTATCTTAAGTTCCTAAACATGTGTACTAGGAATACCTACCAAATGTATCATCACTAGAAAAATAATTTGAATCATGCTATCTTTATGGTAGTAGTTTAAGTAGAGAATGTCATGATCATTTGTATTAAAAAAGAAGTAAAATTATACCAAACATAAAATAAAAAAAAAGATCAAATGACTGCAGGAGGATATTGATATACATGCACTAATTGGCCTTTTCTTTTTTTCTCTTATATCCCCCATTATTTTATAATTCATATCCATTGTGTTTCTCTTTGTTGGAACCTTGAACCAAGTGTCGGTTTTTCTCGACTTATTCGATTCAAAATTAGTGGCCAAACTACCTACGCGAAGAACCATATCTAGCATAATATATTTAGCTATGAGTTGCACTATAAAATTTAGAGGTTACAAATTTTATAAAACCTCGTGTCTTATTATTCATAATACGAATCATACTACCTCTGATATGACCGTATAAAAATCGTATGATTCGTATTATAATGTAAGACACCAAATTGAATTAGTTTCACTCACCCACCAATTGTGTGCTGTCGATGAACACATCGACCTTTTTTGGATTTCTTCCTATCTCCTCGTTTCTCTTTTATGTATAAAATCATTAAGGGAGCTTTGTAATCAATTAATTAATTAATTGGGTTGATTGGTACTGAACAAGATAGATAAATTAGATACCAATAAAAAAAAGTAACAGATGTTGCCATGCACTGACTGCACCCATCTTTGGCCATATTCTTTTACTGGCCAGAATATAAGACACATCACCCTTCTTCAATCAATGGAGGTTATTTGTTCCCATTATTATTATTTCCATTATCATTTGAATTAGGAAGACTAAATGATCAATGGCTTTTGTGAGTATATATTTACTATTAATCAATGAAAGAGTTGCTACACTTAGGGGTATGTAACGGTCCTATCTGCTCTCGGGAGAAACAACGGTCCAATAGTAAGAGACTTCTACTGATTCAGGACCGATCTACCAGTGTATTTTTCTTAAGTATAAAATTTGAGAAATTAATGATCGGACCATATTATACTCGGTTCGATGTCGTCTGGTCCAAAATAAAGGCATTAGAAAGGTAGTGTAGGGAATTGGCACGAATTTAAAAGTGAGAAAAATTCATGTCACTCTCTATAGTAAAGTGTCGATATGCTATGCCGTTCAACGTTCAACCAAATGCTTAACTGGGAAGATGCACTACCCTAATACTAATAGCTTTTCTTTCATCCTTTTCACCTCATACATAAAAAAGTGAAAAAAGGAAATCTCACACTCACGGATATGGTGATTAAATATAATTTCAAAGCATGTATTTTCTTAAGGGGTTTCGTGATAGAGCTAAATATATAATCTCTAAATTCAAAAAAAAAACAATGCTACGATCACTCTATCGAAACGATACTGGCATGAAACGATTCGTTACTCTTGAAGATGATGTTTCTTTGTCATGAGTTTTACCAATATATATTGGTATAATATTCACACATGTTATACTCTTTGACACGAGTTTATCAATTACTCAACAGCTTAATTATATTCACACACAAGTAATCTAATTTTTCATGTACTGATCAATTAAAATTTTTTTCTTTACATATCACAAGCTTTTGTTTTACATATTGCCAATCAATTGTACAATCGGATCAACCATTTTTTATTATGTAGTTGTTTATATCAAACATGTGAATTACCATTAATATAAATTCTCAATTATTTTATTGGAAGGGAAAAAAAAGAACTTGCACCAAAAAAATTTCGTGATACAAATTGTACCAACAAACCATTAACCTACTTCAAAATATCTATGGAGAAGGGTAAATTTGTCAGTGGGTAAAATTTTAATTCGAGGTGGATGAAAATTTTGCGTTGTTGTCGCATTTGAGAGGGACAGCGGGGAAAGAGAGGGAGAGAATGGGTCCAGCTGGCAAGTGCGCGCTAGATCCAAGTGGGATGGTGGGTCCCACACACAGACCACATCACGTGACACTCGCCATCGAAACCCCATAAGCGTAACGGAGACGTCTCCACGTGTTACCCGATGAGTAAGCCCTTTCACACGTGTCAATATCACAGGCCGTTGGTTGAAGAAAGGATTTGGGGACCAAATTTGTCCTTTCCTCCGGGCCCCAGGCCCAGGTGGAACCCCTTCCCCCTTCTGTTTGGGCCTTCGGGCCTCGGGTCGCGACAAAAACCCGGTTTTCGTTAAAGGGGTCGTTAAAGGAATTTTAACGCGTGTAAACTGGGCTTTGTCCTAGAGTTAAAATGGAAGGAAGCTTTTGTAGATTCCCGTAACTACCCCTCCCTCTAGGGCAATATGTCGACTGGCAACTAACGTTTTTATCACAATTTTACTTTGCGTTACGCTTTTAAATTCATACAATGGTGTTGGTGTATTCAGGTTTTTCTATACTTATTAAATCAAGCGTTTATCATCCTCAGTTTTAATTTAAGTGCATAAATATTATCTGGTTGGCCAAATATGCTAAACATCTATCAATTCGGTGCATTTGCGACCGATTGTGCTTGTTTCAAATATCCCCCTCCCCTACAATGTGGTTTCCAATACACAATCAAAATATTTATAATTGGTAGACTCCAATACACATATGTACAAAGTATAGAACTAATACGTGCACAAATATAGTTTGTTACATTTATTACACTCTCTAACACCGCTTTATATCATAATAATAAAACACAATAAACCAATATTTACAAGTAATACCATACAACAAATAACATTCATTTACAAATTAATCTGGTGGTGTGTTATCCTGTTATCCTTCTAATTAAAATAACTATAAAAAACGAACTTTGAGAAAATAAAAAATATACGACCTTTTTCTGTTCTCCCCTTTTCTCCGTAAGTTCTTAGGGAAGAAGAAGACCGACTGCTTGTAATTTTCGCCGCGGTGAAACGGCACATCCCAGGAAGGTTATATACATTATACAATACCGGGGGCGGGAAATTCCGTTTGTGGACTATCCAAAAGACACGTACGTTCCGCTTTCATCAGGGGTATGCAAGTAAATCCATCACTTTAATTCGAAGAAAAAAAATAAAATATTTTTAAAACGCAAGCCAGCCAATCTTATCCATTTATTGCAACCCCCACACTCTTTATAAAAAGGAGCTCGAAATGCTGCCTTCCCTGAAACAAAGCCGAATGAAGAACACTCCATAGCCCAAACCAAAAAAATCCCCAAATCGAAAAAAAACAAAATCCCTAAAATTAGAACGAATTGAAACTTTCAATCCGGAGACTGTGTGTGATCTTATCAAGCTTCTCATTTTTCTCCTTCTCCTCCTTTCCGATTTCAATGGCGGCCAGTAAGAGTTACTTAGCCAGGCAGAACTACCGATTCCTCGATCAGAACCACCACCACCACCTCCACAGCCACCACCACCACGACTTCGAACTCGACGAGTCCGACGTCTACGACCGCCACAGCCACCTCCCGGACTCGCCGGAGTTCCGGAAGGTCGGGTCCAGGATCAACAAGAAGTCAACGGCGGCGGCGGCGAAGTCCGCCGCGTCGTCGCTGCCGGTCAACATACCGGACTGGTCGAAGATTCTGAAGGAGGAGTACCGCGAGAACCGCCGCAGCAGGGATCCCTTCGACGACGACGACGAGGAATTGGACGGCGGCGGGGACGATTACGGCGACGGCGGGGTGCGGGTGCCGCCGCACGAGTTCCTGGCGAGGCAGATGGCGAGGACGAGGATCGCGTCGTTCTCCGTCCACGAAGGCGTGGGGAGGACTTTGAAAGGGAGGGATCTGAGTAGGGTCCGAAATGCAATTTGGGAGAAAACTGGGTTCCAAGACTGAAATTTTCCATTTTCCATTTCTTTTTTTTTGGGGAACTAATTAGACGGGAATAATTATTAACTTGCATTTTAATTGTTTTCAACTTTTTGTATTTTTGTTGGTATTATAGAGAGAGGGGATTGTGACAGGAGGCCGGTAGTCGGTAGATGGGCTATTTTTTTTTTCTTCTTCAATTTTGTTGCCTTTTTATAATTCTAGTTGATGAAGGGGATTGGATTTTTAATCAATCTGCTAACTTCATCAATTATTTGTATCGTTATTATTAATATATTTCATCCGAAAATATTTTACACAAGTTATATTTCAATAGCTTTCCCACTCATTATCATCACCTTTGCTTCTCCATTTGGTCAATGGTAGTATTGTGCTTGAAGTCTTCTTTGTTGTTGAGTGTGGAGGTTGAATTAGTTGAAGAAGATGGGCGGTATGGCTAGAGGGTTTGTTCGGCTAATGGTATCGATCGAGTATGTACTGATATCGTAGGATTGAATCGGCTGATATAAAGTAGCTATAACGTAATTAGAATATGTTTGTTACTTTTTGGTGATTTATTGTGTATATGATGGCTAAACACGCAAATTATTTAATCTGACGATGTCTATTCACGATGATGGTTGTTCCCACTTGGGCAATAGAATTGGGAGAAAGAGAAGTCTTCAAGCAAAGCCATGAATATGGTGGGGTGTGGGTTTTGAATTGATGTAAAGGGGTTGGTAAAGGGAGAAGAAGAAGTGTTTACATGGAGAAAATGACTGTTTTTTCTTCCCTTGAATTACTCCATATGCTCTATGCCAAAGGCAAAAAAAGCTATAACGTTAACATCCACCACGACGTCCAGTGATTGGTTGAAAATAATTTTTTTATTACTTGTTAATTATTCTAATTGAAGTCGAATGAAACACGGGACGGAATGCAACTAATCTCCGTTATTATTTTTCCCCAATAAGCTAAGTAGTGAGAGATAGAGCATGTGTAGCTTGCATTATTTCTACGGTAAATAATAAAACCCATATAACTTTGATAGAACATAACTTTAAATGAATTAATTAAAGATTAGGATATGATATCATACTTCAAACTCGATTTCATTCATTGTTTAGATAGAGACATCTTGTTAGCAGTATCTGAAGTATAGTATACTCCAAGAGACCTAATATAATAGTATACATATAATTAAGTAAATTGATGTATTTTAGTTTACATTGTTTGATTTTTGTTAGGGTTATTGAAGTATTTAGATAAGCTATGTTATTTTTTGAGATATATATCAAATTCACCCTTTGTTTTTAAAATAAAATAAACTACACATACAAAAAATTAGGGTTATAATTAGAATAAAAAACTCAATAATCTCAACCAAAATATCTCAACAATCACACCTATATCATTTTGAGTGAAAGTTTCTGTCACATCAAGCAAACAATCATTGTATTATTTATGCATAAAATTCTAAAAATGCATGATACATTCAGTCATTATCTCCACCAAATTATCACCAAAATCAAATGACCCCTTAATCTCATAAAAAATTGAGATTCGGTATACATCATGTATTCTAAATACATGCATTATATGCATTATGTACTTAAAAAAACATTACAAGATACATATATACGAAAAACGTTCAAAATACAAAATAAAGTAAAAATAATGCAATTGCAAGCTAGATATGCTCCATCTCTCACTCCTTGTTCATTGGGAAATAATAATAACGGAGTCTAGTTCCGTTCCGTCCCCTATTTCATCCGACTTCCGCAAAGTAATAGAAATTTATTTTTCAACCAATCAATGGGAGCCATGTGGCCAGGCAGCAGCTACGGCTGCTACCCGGGTTGCTGCCAAATTTTGCCCTTTTCTTAAATCTGCTTAGGATGAGGGAGAGGGAGAAAATTATCGTAATTAAGAACTTAGTGGAAGTGTGTGTGGGGGATAAGGCTGTCTTGCTAATTGAGAATATTAAGGTTCGATTTGTTCAAGGAAATCTAAACCGCATATGACATAAACTATTATTATGTGTTCATAGAAGGGTGTTGATAATGCAAATTCATATATTAAAAATGATTTAGACAGTGCACAAGATACTCCACCGCCTGCCAACTAAGAACTTGTATGTTAAACTAATGTAAATTCCCTTCAATCCAAGTAAATCTGGTTCATTATAATATACACAATAAGGGTAGTGATGGGATTAACATACATTGTAACTTTAACCCTCAGATATATGAATATGTTTGATTTGGCCTTTCGGATATAAAACCGAGCGATCTCGTGTAGTGAAAAATGCGCCTGGACTCAAAATTTTGAAATTAGAAATACATTCAATCGTTGACTCAATTTGGTACTATGATGCTGTTGCACACAAATCTGCTAGTTTGAGTGACGACTTTTTTATCCGTTTTTTCATACGATTGTCATTGTTAAAATATATGTAGTCCAAAAGACGAATACGTCACTACAACACTTCCTCGGTAATTGTATTCATATTATGGTGTATGTATTACGAAAACATTAGAAAGTGTCAGGATAAAAAATGTTAGTCTCCGTTTTCCTCCTCATTCCTTCAGTATGTATGTAGAACATAAGAAGTTGTCGCGATCTCTTACAAGTAGCCTCTTTTTTTTTAAAAAAATCATAATTTCGTCACTGATTAGTTATTGATCATAAGATTCGAACATATAGTTCATGAGATGTTCTCTTCCGACATGATGGCGATGTCAAAGACCAGAATTAGTAGCTTTTGAACGGCACATCATTTTAATCAAAAGATGCTTGCAAAGTGGGCAGTGTTGAACTTAATTGGATTGAGTAAAGTGGGTGACTGATGAGAAAAAAAAGATCCCACCCAAAAGGAGATAAATTCAGAACAGAACCCAAAAAGGAGAAAGATGTTTAAGTGGAAGTGGATAGATTTAAGTGCTTTCTTTCTTCTTTTGCTTTCTTAATGGTGGAGAATCAACTTGAGTGGTAAACTTGTAATGGTGGGGGGCAGGCAGGTTTGATTCATTAAGCAACATCGATAACAATCTTATTAGATATTGGATCTTGAGAGAAACTATTATAAAAGATTAGGGTTTTGCATGCAGAAAACAGAGCAAATGTTGATGGGGAAAAAAAATACATTAAACTTTGATGAGAACTTTATTGGGGGAGGTTATCAAAATATGCCAAATGACTTGGAAATTACAGAACCCTCACGTGAAATCTTGGGGGTTGAGTAGGTTTTCTAGTGTAGTTAAATGGCATTTGGGTTGCTGATGTGTCTTTGAAGCATTGTCTAGCTACGGTAAGTCATATTCGCGAAGGGGTTGAGCATATTGTGCGCAAAAATTCGTTTACAAGTGTCCATATATTCGAAGTTCCAACAAAACGTGGAAGCGAAAACTCTTTAGATTTTTCGTGTTCGTGATTTGGAGATGGTAAACGGGAAGAGGAAGGTTTATGTTGGCATAAGTCTTTTATTGTGACAATAAACATTTTTCCTATCGAGGTTAACAATGTTAAAAAAAAAAACTAATTATTTATTGATGATTTCCTATTATTTTGAATGACCACTAGTGCAAGTGTGCAACTACCTTGTGGACATGTTACATATCCCTACTTATCCACGCTAGATTTGTTTCACAGAGCAAAGTTCATATTATTGGAAGCTACCTGCCGAAAAAATTATAATTGAGATTCCACATGCAAGCCAGCTAATCAATGCCACAACCAATTAATTATCCATTTGATTAATTTAACATAAATCCGAACATCCAACCGCTCATCATATTTACATCCTACCTTGTAATGATTGTATCTTATCATATATTTTTTCCCGTATATACATAAGTCGTCACTCGAGACATTTCATATACAATAAGAGCATTTGGTGGATTACAACGACGTAAACGATACATATTGATCATGTATTCTGCAAATTACGGTACAAATTACGTAAGTTGTGAAGCGCGCCGATAATGTTTGGGATCAAATTAGACACGAAAATGAACTTTGTAGGTACCAACAAAATTTGGATTAATGGCGGAATAAATAGTTGCAAACGCCAAAGTCCGGTCCTTCAAGGGAAACGTTGAAAGATTTGACAACCGCTCCTTTTTCTCTCTTTTCTTCTTTATTTCGCTCTCGTTTTCTTTTTTTACTTTTGCCGGGGGAAAAAACACAGAGGAAAAAGGGAAATAATAGGGACCGTTGGATCTGTTGAAAACTGGTTGTCTTAACTCCTAAGGGGGGGCGTGGGACCGTTGATACGGACGGTTGTGTCGTTTAGTTTGTGTTTCCATCTGTCGTTTTGTTGGGCGTCACTGATGGAGATTTAATATTCCTTCATGGGCCTCCTCCTTTGGGCTTTGGGTTTCCGTGTGAGACAGTGTTGACATGATGTTGTCATTTCCTTCTCTTTCAATTTTTTTTTTCTTTCTTCTAATTTGTCTTTTTCTCCACTACCCATAAAAAAATGATTTCGTGTTAACCCCTCTAATTGTTCTTACAAAACAGAAACTCTAGGCTCTAATTGTTCTTACAAAACAGAAACTCTAGGTTACCCATATGGATCTCCATTTGTCATTAAAACATATTATCAGTTTTCATAAGAGAATGAACATTGATTAAGCGTTGAACGTAGAGACAACAAAAGACTTAACAAAGGATCTCAAACAATACTTCCACAAGCAATAATTACTACGATGAATCATCTCTCGTAATTAAATGTATAGTAGATTTTATCTTATATACGGGTATAAATCTAGCATAATTAAATGTATAGTAGATTTTATCTTATATACCGTGGATTGAAAAACTCATAAGTGCTTGCATCATTGATGTTTGTCGTTCAATTCCCATTATGTTTGTAGGTCGACAAAAGCTCCAATATAAATGAACCTTAGTTCTTTTCTTTAAATGTTCTTTCTTTAATAGTTAATTCAAACAACTTGAACATGAGACCATGAATATGTAAAAAAAAAAAAAAAATCACAAGATCCCTTCTCGTAAAACTTTAAGGTATTAGTGAGGTAAATTTCGTGGCGAAAATCATATCTTCTTCTACTAGGCATTTGCAATTTTGCCATAAATTCCGATTTACATGGAGTTAATGGGCCCGATCTTTTGGACTTTGCTAGGCGCCCTGTCGGCCATGGGCCTCTACTTTCCGTCCCTCGATCTGGTCCCTCCCCACTCAAATCCGTTTTGGGCTTATGGATGTGGCCATAAGAAAAATATGACTTATTCGTGTAGCCGTGGTGTAGGTGCAGGATTGCCCCAACAACGACATTACTGCCGTCCAAGGTTGTCAACCCGCGGGTTGATCCGGACCTGGTTAAGCTAGTGGGTCAAGGATTAATGTGTCAACTATTTTAGTCCGATTTGTCCCGGAAATATAAAAAGAGTCATTATATTGTACTTATCCTCATAAATTATTTTTATCTAACATATGAGTTATAACATATAATATTACACCAAAATAACATATCATACTTGGATCCAACATATGGTAAAAATCCACACACACTTATATAACATAAATATTCAAATGTTCACCTTAGTATTCCAAAGATTGAGTTAGGCGAAAAGAAAAATTGGAAAATAGTCGCATTTCGCAAACTAAAGAAAAAAATGACACAATTTGACCTCCAATCCGGTACCTTATAGCGGTCAGCCCGATGGGTGCGACCCGTTTTTCTCACCGGATCAGGATCAAATTGAATCGACCCGTGGGTCAACCCGCGGGTTGACAAGGTTAACAACCTTGCTGCCGAGTGCCGAGGCGTGTTTTCAACCGACAGTTCGCTCCGTTGTTGTGTCAAAATTCAAAACTCTAAAACCACCGCAAAATGAAATATAAAAAAACACATCCACTATGTACATAATTTCTACCACGAAACATCCAAGCAGTCGTCTCCCTCCTAGAATGGAAACATACAAAAAGACTGAAAAAACTACACCCATCTATTTACATTCAGAAACCCATCGACCCACATAAAAAAAAAGAAGCAGAAACACCATTTTCCCCCGCCTTGTTGCTACAGATTTCAGCTCGCGACGGCATGAAGAGCGTGCCCCAAGTGCACGAGATGCCACGTCAGCGCCATCAGCGCCAGTATGTTCAGCCACGACGAATACGAGTTCAGCCTCTTCACCCTCGAGTTCAACCTCGACAGCCTCGAGTTCGTCTCCTCTTCTTCCTTCTCCTCCGCATCCTCCTCCGCCAGCTCAGCCCCCGCCGCGGCGGGCCCTGCATCCGCCATCTGGTGCTGCTGCGTCTGCTCCCCTCTCCCCCTCCCTTCCTCCTTCTCGATCCTCATCCTCTCGAACATCGCCTTACCCACAAACGAAAACCAACCCACGAGCTCGTTAGAACATATGTCAATTCGTACATTAGACTCGTTACGAAAAAAATGTCGCGCGCGCGCCTACCTTAGTCGCGAGGGGCTCAATGTACATTCCATTCACGACCACGAGCGCGATGGCGGCAACGAGATTGAAGGCCTGGAGCATCTCGGACTTGGCCGAGACGAAATTGCTCCCCCGGCCCAATAGGTGGCCCAACAGGGCCAGCCCAGTGGACAGGCCCATGGCCTGGAAGTAAACCGGGTACACTTTGCTCTGCACGACCCCGAACTGCTGCCTCGGCAGCACATTGGCCAGGACGTAACTCGAGATGAACGTCACCCACACGCTTGTCCCGAACGCCGTGGACAGACCCAACAGGCTCAGCGCCCCGGCCAGCGACTTGCCGGCCGCCGCGATCCTCCCCATTTTGCCGCCGCCGCCGCCGCCCTTGTGCATCTTGCTCTGGGTGTCATCCACAATACCCTCCGACACGTTGCGCGTTACGTCGCTACCGATCGTCTTGCCTAGGTCCTTGACTTCCCCTGCCGAATCGGTGGCAGTCTCTTTGGTTTTGGAATAGACTCCCTTTGCTGCTTCCCTTGCCTTTGCCGCGGCTTCGGACGCGGTTTCCTTGCCCTTGTCGAGGGCATCCGTGACGGTCTCTCTGGCTCCGTGGGCGGCCTGGGACGCCTTCTCCGCGGCTTCCTGTCCGAGCTCCGAAGCCTTCTCATTGGCGTGGTGTGTTGCTCTGGCTACTGAGATTTTGTAGCAAAAAATTTCAGGAATTTGAAATGTGCAACTTAATTTGGAAGGTAGAACATAATCGAAATCAAATTCCACCTGTGTCCTTGGCTTCATGGGCAATCTCCCAAGCCTTTTCCTTGGCTTGATGCGCAGCTCTGCCTACTGAAATTTTTTCAATAGTACGATTCAACATGCAAAAAAAAAAAATTTCAATAGTTGGATTGAAAAAGTGACCCAATTGGAGGTAAAAAATGTGAAATTACCCGTGTCTTTGGCTCCGTGAGAAAGCTCCGAGGCCTTCTCGGTGGCGTGATGCGCGGTTTGGGACACTCCATGTTTGGCTCCTTCGGCCAGCTCGGAGGCCTTCTCGGTGGCTTGATGTGCGGTTTCATAAACACCGTGCTTGGCTCCTTCGGCTGGCTCCTTGACCGAGCCGAAGGCTCGGTCTTTGGCGTCTCCGAAGGCCTTGGCCACCTTGTGTGTGCATTTCCCCCAGGCATCACAAATGAGCTCCCCCGGGGCATGGCCGCCGAAGAGGGGCAGGGCGGACCCCGACGCGCTCGCGGGGTCGTCGTCTCCTCCTCCGGGCTGGTCCTTGGATGGGGAGATGGAGATTTTGGTGTTGTGGTGGCCGACGTGGTCGTCGAACGTCTCGACGACCACGACTCGGTGCCCTTCCTTCACAATCACGTCTTCTTCACGGGGTTGAACTTGTTCGGCCGACGTGGATGTTGCCGCCGGGATCGGTGGGGACCAGATCTCCGCGGCCAGCAATGTGGTCAGCACAAGGCATATCGACAAAATGTTGGTCATGGCTTTGGGTTTGTTTTTGAGATCGGAAGAGAAGCACAATTCTATTGCGATTGCGAAGGTGGTGGAGATTTTGAGTAGGAACTGGGGAGAAGCTTCTTTGGATTGATTATAAGGGTTTTTGTTTGGATAAATATCGGGAACAAGAACCCCACGTGGATTACTACGTGGGGTGGGAAGTGGATCGACCCGTGTCAGGCCTGCATGGCCACGTGGATTGTTCCTTTCTACGTGTCGGTTTCTTGACTAGAGACGGGGAGACGTAGTACGTACTTACCCTTTGATGTTTTGGTACGATCAATCGGAAAGAAGACAGGCGGCGACCGACGTTGTTTCGGAGTTTTTTTTTTTTTTTTTGACACGTGTAACTAAACCAATTTCCCTTTTGACCAGAACTTCGACCTCCATAGGCCCTTTTTTCTGTTCTATGATCTAATCTCCTTTCCCAAATCATACCGCATACTGACGGTGGGCATGTGGGTGGTTAATCGGCGGATTGATATCGATCCACCCGCAAATAATCTGATCCGTACGAAGTGGGTGATTGATGTAGGTGGATTGCGGATTGATAAATCTCCCACCCGCACTTAATTACGTGGGTGGGTGGTGGGTCATATGACCCACATCCTATTTTTACATGTAAAAATGTTGTTTCTTATAGTATCGAATATTCATCATATTTTCAAACTGCTCTACAGTCTGGCCATATATTTCAAAAGGTGGAAAATAAATAATAGTTTTGACTACTATTATTAGTTATTGTGTTGTGCAATATCCATTACATATTGAATATTGGTATGCAGATGATTGTTATAACCATTAAATATTGGGATGCAAAGTATAAACTATTAATTGTATCAAAATCACAAATTATTGATACAGTTTTACTAATTTGCTATGAACTTATTAGAAATGTTTGTCAACTTTCTTAATAGCTAGTTGGAGATTGCTTTTACGGGTTGACCCGCAACCCAACCGCACCCATTCGCCACCCACCCAACTCAATCCGCAGAAGTATGTGGGTGGATTGCGAGTCACAATTATTCCAACCCACTAGTAAGCGGGTGGGTCAATTTGAGACCAAAACCCACCCAACCTGCCCGTTGCCCACCCCTACCGCATACTAACGTACTCGTATACTGGGCCGAATACCCAGAATATTGAAAAGGACGACTTATGACCCTTTCTTTGGCCCCAAATTGGCAGTAGTCTTCCGAATCCGTTTCACACAATTGGGCCGCATCACGGAAGCCCATGAACTGGGGACCTTTTTCATTTCTCAACCACTCCACGGCGTCCCGTTCCACCTGTTGTTTCCCAGCCGACCCGAAACGACTGAACCCGGAACTGGATCCGGGTAAGCTCCAATTCCAGAATCCAACTGCTGTCTGCTGGTCTCGGAGTCAAACCGATCGTCGTCTTCCACCCCCGTCTCTATCGTCTCTCCGTTAGCAGAGAGCCTTGAGAAACCGCCATCGCTACACTGCTAGACTTTCCGTGAAAGCACAGTAACTGCCGGGGAGCCAATTTCTCGATCCTGCTTGGCAAATTATCAGTAATTGTTGTCCATGTCGTCTTCTGATTCCAGCTCTTCCTCGTCGGCCTCCGCCTCCGACGATCCAAACCCTAAGCTTAAACCTCAGCCACTCGAGAGCCAATTTCAATCTTCGGTTACTCTAGGTGGCTCCGATGAAGGATCCGTATCAGCATCTGTGGTCGAGCAGCGGCAGCAGCAGCAAGGGGAGGATTCTGGAAATGGATCAATTGGTGGTGTTGTCAATGTCGAGAATAATGGTCACCGGGACGGCAGCGACCGAGAGGAGATAATAGCTCTTGGCGTGACTGCGGATGAGGATGGCGGTGTTGTGTGGAGGAGGGCGAACTCGGAGGTGGAGTTGGATGTGGAGGCGCCGGCCAGTCCGAGCAGCAGTGGGTATGCTGGTGAGAGAGGTAGCAGCGGTGCAAGTAGCTCTTCGGGAGCTGGGGACAACAGCGAAGAAGACGAGATAGAGGAAGTTGGGAATGGTGATGATGGTGGCGCTTATGGTGCTCTGGATGCGCAGGCAGAATGGACTCCTGGGAAGCGGCATGTTGATGAGGTAACTATATTTTTCACTTTTTAGCTCCTTAGACTAGTTATGAATCGATCAACCTGCTTCGTAGTCAAGGTCTATGAACACTTCGAGCTTGGCATATGGATTTGAACTTCTGGACTAAATTTCCAAGAAATTAGTTTCCTTCCTAGACTGGAAGAGCGTCCTTAAGAGCGAAAATGTGGTGCTCGGCATATTTCAGAACAAAGGAAGAAAGTTAGTAACAGGGGTGAACTGTTGAGATTGAAATGAAGAATCTCAAGATCGTAGTCAGACTTAATGTTGCAATCCATTAACTCATTTGAGTCATTTCCATAAGTCGTGGATAAAAGTAGGTTATGCAACGTACTATTGTAATGTTGTCCTTGTACGAATGAAGTGCAGGATGATGCTTCCATTTCATGGAGAAAAAGGAAGAAGCATTTCTTTATATTGAGTAACTCTGGAAAACCCATATATTCAAGGTTTGTCTGAAATGCTTATGACTGATTTCCTCAATTCTAAGCTTGCATACTGGTCCTGGTTCCCTTGATGACCATCACATTTGCATACTTGATGCCTATTCTCAACTTCTAGATATGGGGATGAGCACAAGCTGGCAGGATTCTCAGCAACTCTTCAAGCCATCATATCTTTTGTAGAAAATGGGTATTTTGGATAACACCATTAAGACCTATACTTTATCTTTCATTTTTTTTTTCTTTCTTTCTATATGAAATTTATAGTTATTCCTGCTACTCATGGAGCTGTAATAGTTGCCTTAATTATTTTGCTTTTCAGGGGAGACAGGGTCAAGTATGTTAAGGCAGGCATGCACCAGGTTTGTCTTATTTCTATTACAACTTTGGCATTTAAATTAAGTATGTGTGTTGAACCAAGTCCTCCAGACTCTTATATGTTCTTCTTGAGAAGTTCTTGACATTGGAGATGACTATCTGCGAGTTGATATGTTGTTTAAGACTCTAGTGATAGTTGCATTTGGGGTGCTTAATTTGTTCTCTATCCTATGTATTATTCTTTGTTGGAAAAAAGCAGTCTACAATCACTCATGTATCATCCTGCAACGATGTTTTCTCGGCCTAGAAACACTAGATAGATTGAATTTACTAATGCTACTGTTTTCCTTTGATTCCTCCTCCAGGTGGTTTTTCTTGTCAAAGGACCCATCTACCTTGTATGCATAAGCTGTACAGAAGAACCGTACGAGTCTCTAGTTGGACAACTGGAGCTTCTATACGGTCAGGTAATTGAAGCTTCTCGGCCTTTTTATTTCTTAGTGCAATTTTCCTGGTGGTTTTCAAGTGGAAGAACTTACTAGCAGGAGTCATCATACAACTCTCATGAATTAGCTATTATATCGATGCAGATGATTCTCATTTTGACCAAATCACTGAATAGATGTTTCGAGAAAAACCCAAAGTTTGACATGACACCCTTGCTTGGAGGAACAGATGTTGTCTTCTCGGCCCTGATCCACTCGTTTAGTTGGTTTGTTTCTCTCCCTCAGCTTGCATAGAAAACTTTGAATCTCAATTCCTGACTCTTTGGTTGGTAATTTTTAATTAGGGCAACTTGGTCAACCATGTAACTATGTAAGTGATAGTACTGTGGACGTGTAATTGGTAATTAAAGATTTCAACTGCATGAAGGTGCATGTAGACTAGTTCTAGTTGGATAACTGATAAATTGCCTTACCGAGGATTACCTGTTATATGATGAGAAAATGACATTGTATTTCAATTAAAACGGCACAAATTAGAAGATAACTTTCTTGAATTGAGATGCACATATTCCATTTCAATTCATAGGCTGTTTTACTGCTTGTAACAATCTGTGCATTTCCTGCTTTTCTTCAACTTAAGGTAACTTTATGTAATTGAAATAGTAACAATATATAGGTTTGTTCATCTCTTTTTGCGTCTTTTGGAGATTGATAGTTAATGAACTATGGGACGTTTCCTTGAATCAGGAATCCAGCTGCATTTCTTCATGCATACACTTGTCTTCCTCTTCCTTATGCAACAAGGCAAGCTGTTGGTGCTATATTGCAAGATGTTGCTGATTCTGGTGTCCTCTTTGCGATATTAATGTGTAAACATAGAGTAGGTACCTCCGTGGAAGTTGCATTTGTATCTTGGTATTAGATTTCTTTATTTCGTTCGAGTACTATTTGACTTGAAGCTAAATTTCAGGTTATCAGTGTAGTTGGTGCCCAGAAAGCTTCTCTTCATCCTGATGACATGCTGCTACTTGGAAATTTTATAATGTCATCTGAGTCCTTTAGGCAAGTGCACTTGACTAGAAGAAGGCTGTCTTCATCTTCTGACAACTAAGCCGTTTAAGTCAACATGAGTAATACTAATATATTCTGTAGTATGGTAACAGCTTAATGATAGTTGCAAATGAGGGCGGGATTTTTTTCCTGAGCATTTGTGGTCGAATTTATAATGACTGCTGTTGAGGGTGGATTTTTAGTGGCTTACTTAGTGACTGGGCTTGTGCAGGACATCTGAATCTTTCTCACCAATCTGCTTACCAAGATACAATCCAATGGCATTTTTGCATGCTTATGTCCATTATTTTGATGTGAGTGTGACTTGTTTTCCAATTTATCATACAGTGTCCTTTTGACCACTGTTTGGATGGTAGCCAATTCATTATTATCTTATGTAATATTTTTTTTACAATTTCGCATATACTGTGGCCACTTTTTGATGCTGACCATTGTCATTTACAAACCCTTCCTGCAGGCTGACACGTACCTGATATTGTTAACAACCCGTTCAGATGCTTTCTACCATCTTAAAGATTGCCGGTAAGTCTTCCTCTTCCCTGAGTTCCTACTCATTATAACCGATATACCCTCGTCGCACATTTTACTTAAAAATGAATCAACACATGTGATGTTACCCTCGGGCAATTATTTTATAGGATTCGTCTTGAAACGGTACTTCTGAAGTCAAATGCACTAAGCGAAGTTCAGAGATCCATGGTAGATGGTGGGATGCGAGTTGAAGATTTATCTGTTGATCTACCGCAACATACTGGATCTACTTCTCGTGCAGATGATAAGGCACCTGAACGAATAAGGGAATCAGCACTTGTTGGCCTTGGTGGTCCAGCTGGACTTTGGCATTTCTTGTATCGCAGTGTATATCTTGATCAGTATGTGTCTTCTGAGTTTTCCTCGCCAATCGATACCCATCGACAGCAGAAAAGGTAAGTTTATGCAAAACTTCCTTCGTCACATAATCCTCCTCTTTGAACTAGTTGTGTGCATGACATGGATGGTTTGTGGTGGCAGATTGTACAGAGCTTATCAGAAGCTTTATGTTTCAATGCATAACAAAGGAGTCGGACCACACAAAACTCAGTTCAGAAGAGATGAGAACTACGGTAACCTGTTTCACCACGTTTACCCTGAGTCGCCATCAGCTATTAAGCTTGTATGACTAGAAGTTCTTGTAGTGAGGAATCAACTCTGCTCCTCTCCCTTTGCAGTATTACTCTGTTGGGTCACCCCCGATTTTGAACTATACGCCGCATTCGATCCACTCGCAGACAAGGTCTGACACCTCTCTCTCTGCCTTTATCGTCTGTCGTCAAACTGGCTTACTCCCCTCATGTCTCTGCATCACAAGCTTCTGCTTTTTTTGTCTCCGGAAACCGAAAATTTGCAGGCGTTGGCGATAAAGACATGCAACGAGGTGTGCCAGTGGGTGAAAGATGTAGAGAACGAGATCTTTCTGCTGGGAGCAATCCCCTTCTCCTGGTGACATCCCATCCATTTCCCCAAGTAATCTGTTATCATTCTTTATACATCTGTACACTACCACTACTGCTCTTTCCCCCCTGGCTGAATAAATTTAGTAGCTTTAGCACTCCCTGACTGTTTTTTTCTTGCCAATCTATGATCCCCCTCCTCGTAAGGGCGCAGTAGTTTTAGTTTGCCGTGCATTTGCGAGTTCCGACGGGACATGGTTTATTTTTAGATGATTGTTGGCCACAGAGTTCGGATCCAGTACATGGTGATAGAGTTATCGTCCCCCAACTCGGGCGAAACTCGGCGGCTGACGCTATCTGGTATCAACTTTCATGGATCATATCTATCTATGTTTTTCTTTATCGATCGTATTATTATGTTTAAATGCTAGTTGAATTAGGCCAACGCCAATTTGTGGACTTTGCTTTGCTTTCCAACAATGTCAAACAACGTATTCAATTCTGCTCGTCTGTGGTCAATCTTCGTCAAATGGGAAAGCTGTAAAGCGAGTGAGAGGAGGAGGGAAGGAATTCCTTGCTAATTATTCCCCACTCACTCACCTTTTTGCTCACGATGATGAAGTCCGACCGTTGTGAGTTGTGACCCCAATTTGGCTCATCGTGTATATATGGACATCATGAACCAACTCCACTAGCCTCTCTCTCTCTCTCTCTCTCTCTCTCCACATCTTGATTCCGTTTGTTGGCGTTGAGCATTTTGGTACTTTTGCCCACTTGAGATTCCCCAAATCTATGGTGGTACTATGTAGATTGTAGACAGACAGTCCTCTCTGACCGGTGAGACCGACGGCGGCGGCGATGAATGTTCACAAATAATGCCTGGAAAAATAGCTGCAGCTCTGCTCACCGTGTAATTCCGTTCTTGTATGGTGATGCTGGTGGGTTTGCCACGCGCATTTCGCGCGATCCAATTCTATTGGATTTCACAATCAGCGTGATCTTACGAATACTTTGTGTAAGCGCGCTAATCGAACGAATCAAATGCATGCAATGACATGTGACAAACATTACTCCGTTTTGTAATCAGTTGCAAATAGAATCAACTTAAAGCGAGACGCAGCAGGAAAAAAAAAACACAAAAGGAGGCAGATCTAAAGGAAAGAATGAAAGAGATCAAAATCCCATGCAAAAAAGACTAACGTTAAGTTGACTAACCCACCCCAAACCGATGATCATAAATACGCGCTTAATTTAACAAATAAACTAAACCTTCTTAAGCTAATAAAAATTAAAGGAAAGAAATCTAATTAATTATTTAACAAAAATAAAAAAACAGAGGAAAATTTAAAAAAAAAATCAATTTTCTTCTCCTCCTCCGGTCCGCACTATCTGATTTACTCATTACTGCTTCCACCCCCATTTGTCTCCCTTCCCCTTCTCTCTCTCTCTTCCTTTTTTTTTTTATCTATCGGCAACGACATCAAAACCCTAAAAAAAAAAAGAGTAGAGCGAGCTCGATCTTCCGACGGGTCATTTCCTGGTTCCGATCTCTCTTCTTCTATTCTCCTTCGCCGGTTGAGCTGATGAACTGGAAGGGAAGCGGCGGGGAAGAGTAGCAACAAGAGAGGAAGAGAAGGACTTTTTTGTGCTGAGCAGGCAGGGTTGATTTCAGGGTGGTGGGGAGAAATGTACAAGAACCAGCTGCAGGAGCTGGCGCAGAGGAGCTGCTTCAACCTTCCCTCCTACACTTGCATCAGGGAAGGTCCCGACCACGCGCCGCGCTTCAAGGCCACGGTCAACTTCAACGGCGAGATCTTCGAGAGCCCGTCCTACTGCTCCACGCTCCGCCAGGCCGAGCACTCCGCCGCCGAGGTCGCCCTCGGCTCCCTCTCCCACCGCGGGCCTTCCCACTCCCTCGCCGCCCGCATTCTGGTACCCTCCTTTCTCTCGGTTTTGTTTTCCCTTTTTCAAGTTTCGGACTTTCGGTACTTATTTGTCGGTGGTGAAATTTCTGTTTGTTGCTGAACTTCCCGGTCATAGGTTCGTGCGTTTGACTTTCTCTTGCTCTGATGTTCGCCGGGTTTGATTTTTACTTTCCGTCTTCCGTTGGTGATCGGGGTTATCGTCTGAATCCCTGCTGCCGCCGGCGGGATATAATTGTGGGTAGGTGGGTGGGTGGGTTGGATGAATGGACTGAAACGCCCCTCCTTTGCTACTGCTGCCATGCCGTTGATTTCAATTTAGACTGCAATCGACTTGCTATCCTGAACTTTAGTTGACCAGACCATTAAAAAGTGGAATCTGTGGGCTCATTTCCTTTATTCATTCCGTTTCTTTGTTTTCCTTTGTTCTATGTGTGGACATGGTTCATGTAGTTTGGTGGCCATAACCAAGGACGGAATCTGGTGTTTGCTTTGTTGCTCTGCTTTTGTGAAGAGGTTTGAGTACTTGGTTTCTTTGTTTGAGGTTATTAGTGTCCCGGGAAATGTCCGAGCTTTCCATCCTGATTAGTGATTTTTCACTTTCCATGATTGGTTGCTCTGAAATCTAAGGTCATTAATCCAGAAAAGCTTCTGCATGGTGTTTGTGGTGTAGAAGCTATATGTTGTGGAAATTTTCCTAAGAGAGAAATATCTCAGTTTGACATTGCTCCAGTCGAACCTTGTCATTTGGTTCAGGCTTGCAACAAGCTGGCTTTGTGACTGTGACCCAATGAACCGATATTAAGTTGTGACTTGGGTGTTCTAGTTGAAATGGAACCTGGATATTTGTCCTCTCATAGACTTTTCTTCGATGTTGACCAGATAATGGTTGAAGTTTTGCTGCTCTACTTGGAGGTTAAGTTGAGAGAAGTTTGGTGTGTTAACAAAGCGTGTTGAGTCTTTTTCTACCCATTTGATTATCAAATGCCGGTGAGTAGAGTAGTAACTGTACATTTGTTAGCTCATCTTAAAAATTGGTGTTGAATATTGACACGAAGACTTTAGTGAGAGCACTGCAATATTCTATTGTGGGGGAAAATTTGTTGGAATCTCAAATGTAGATGATAAAGTCTTCAGTTCATACCCACTTACTACTCTCCCTGTAAGTGGGTGAATATTCCTTTTTTTCATCACTGTCTTGGCTATGTTTTTGTTTCAAACTTCCAAGTTTTGTCTGTTGGGATCAATATACCTACTCTGCTTTCTCACTAGACTGTAGTTCTCCTAAATACTTGTTGAACTGACAACTGAGTTCAATGGCTCTCAAGCATGCTTCTGCTCCTAATATTAAAATCCCAACACATTTATTTATATGCTAGCAAGTTCTCCACCATTTTAGGTCCATACTTGAATGCCTCGTTCTTTACTGCTGTCGAGGTTGTTGTCTGATATTTAATCCTCTCATCAGGATGAAACGGGGGTGTACAAGAACCTCTTGCAGGAGATCGCCCAGAGAGTCAGTGCTCCATTGCCACAGTACACAACTTATAGGTCCGGTCTAGGCCACCAACCTGTTTTTACGGGGATAGTAGAATTGGCTGGAATTACTTTCACAGGAGATCCTGCAAAGAACAAAAAGCAAGCCGAGAAAAATGCTGCAATGGCAGCTTGGTCATCCCTTAAACAATGTTAGTCTCTATTTATCTTCTTCCGTTTCTTCAGTAGCTTCAATAGCTCTCACAATCTGATACAATGGTCTGCTGAGATAAGTGCTAACAGTTGAATTCTTATTGCCCCCCAATTCAGTGGCTAAGGAAGAGTCCAGTTCATCACCCGAACCGGAGAGCAGCGATGAGCTGGAGCAGATAACGATAGCACGTGCATTGCAGAACTACCGAATGAAGGAAATGATGACACTAGCACACAGTTCCTCTTCTAAAGTCCCAATTCCATTTCAAAAGAAGTTTGCACCTCAAAGCCCAAGGCCAACCAGTCCTCAACCTGCCCCAGTAACAACATCAAGAATCCTACCCCTCATTTATCCCAAGACAACTAGAAATAGATCTATGATGGTAAACACATCAAACGAGAGAACCTCTCAGCACTGTAGAGCCACCGCAACAACAGCAAGTGACAGATTCGCCCCTCCTCCTAGACCTACCTCAACAAATGATAGGCGTGTACCAGGGCTCAGACAGCCGCCAAATGCGCTAGATCTTTGGGCTCATCAGAAGCTCCATACAGCAGCAGCAACGGGAGCCAACAATCCGTATATCCATATGCAGCAGCCATTCTCTGTTCAACCTGTGACAATAAGACATGCAGTACCATGTTATGCTGCACCACCCCCACGCCATCAGCAGCCTTCAATGGTTCCCACTCATCAGGCGGTTCATGCACCACCCATGGGAAGGAATGTCATCCCTGTAACCATAAGGCAGGCCGTCCCGGTGTTCGCTGCTGCTCCTTCCCCTGCAGCAGTTAAGAAAGAATTCACTCCTCCTAGTGTCCAGATTGAACCTAAGGAGCATCCTGCTGAATCAAAGAAAGATTGTTGCGAGGAAGTTAAGAAAGATTCTTGTGTCGAAGTCAACAAAGCGGAGGATAAGGTTCCCCCTACCGCTGTCATCCCAGCACCACCAAGCACAGTAGCTGATCATATGAAGGAAACATGTAAGAAGACTGCAATAGACAATGCACAAGTCGCGGAAGACTCAAAAGTAGGTCAGAGCTTGGATGAACTGAAAAATCTCAGCATTTGAAAGGGAAGAAGGACGAAGATCAGAGGAGAGACACAAACCAAACCTTTCTCTAGTTTTGCCAATGATATGTCGATTATCTTCCCTTGAACAATTGTTGTATTGAGTGTTATTATCTTATGTTACCCGTTTTGTTGTTGTAGTAAGTAGTCTGTAAAAGCTGTTAGAGCTGTTGTCAGGTTTCGAATTAGTTTCTATTAGCATCAGAAAATGTCATCATCCATACATATATCTTTGCAATTCTCTGAAGTTGTATCTGTAAAATTTCTAGTACCCTTTTGATCTTATGAGTTGTGGAAAGTGGCAGGTTTGGAAAAGATGAAGCCAGAGCCCTTCTTCTTATATGGAACCTGATTAATCTGCTATGGTGGTGTTGTGATCTCTCAAGCTGGCCTGTCTTCCTGAACCCAAACTTGTGTCGTTGTCTTCTGTTGCAACATTGAATATCCATTGAAGAATTGTTGCAGGAGATGGTCAAATTTGGAGTTCCCAATGTGTGTATTGGACAACGACAGCTATCTGAAATGGGAAAATGAACTTGAAAGCTCCACATTTCGGACCCAGAATTCATTGGAAACCATAGTTTTCCCGGTTTTGGAGGATGTGAACGTTACAACAACTAAGAGGCTGAAACTTGGTCCTATTCAGGCCAATAGTCTCTATACTCTCTTAAATTAATGATACTTGTTGTATTGCTAAAATCCCCAAAGGAGTTTCTCCTGGTGGTCACTGGGCCAACTGTTTAGGATAGTCTCCTCTCCTGAAATTAAACTTAGCAGCAGTAACTCAAAATCCATCAATCAATCAATCAAAGACGGCTTTGGCTGGCAACCAACTTGCTTTAATTAATTGGGTTCCAGATTACCAGTGATTTGATAGTGTCGTGTCGTCTTCTCTAAATTTCATCGGCTCAATAGTGTCACCATTATCACAACACAAAGTCAAATTCACAATATGCGTCGTGACATCACACTGACATCACCGCAACCATTACCACCTTCTGCTACTGGTTTAGGGACAAAAGGTTAGTGATGACACTGATGAGCCCATTGTTCTACTTATCATGACAATATCTAAAGTTCTAAACACTTGATCACTTGTACTCATATTTGAAAAGCAAGTATATTATTTTAAGCAAAGTTTTCGAATGAGTATATCTGGTCGGCCGATCTAATCGAGTCTAACCGGAATCGCTGTTTTGAACGTCTCGCCATACATCCGCCTTTTCAAATGAGACAGAGGCAGCCAAAATTGAGAATATCGTATTCGATTAGCATTATATCGTGTTAATATCGCCAAAAACTGATATTATTTGCATTATGCATACCGACCCGAACTGAACGATGGCAAACGATTTTTACGGTCTGGCAAGCCGTACGATACGGTTTAGAACTATATATATGTAGAGAGGGATGTTAGGAGAGAGGTCCAATAATGATAGCTTAGCCTTATTATGTCGTTCTCTTGCATGTGGGTTTCCCTAAATGGGAGCAACACAAGAAGCAAAGGGTGAATGAACCATCGTGGAAGTTAAATGCTTAACTCGTTATCCTCTCCTTATCATTCATTCATTCATAAATATCATGAAGTAAGAAAGAATTGTTCCTTTCACCCTCTCCAAATACCCATTTTAATTTTGTCCTTATAGCTAGCTTTCATGGATCCATCATCTCTTCTCTCTTCTGGGTACAGCCAGCCAGTGAATCACAGAACTCGAATTATGGTAGAGTGGAGAAGCTCATTTGGGTTTATGTTGTTTTATTAGGGTTTTGTTTGGTTTCATGGGAATGGAAAAGCCATGGACGAAGGTGTACGAGTTGCTTGGTTTCCCTTGAGATATCTCTTTCCATTCCACCAACGCTCCCAACCATATCGTACATGCAGATAGATAGGCCTTATTATTATGTCCTTTTGTTTGATCATAATTGCGTTTGCATGGCAACATATATCTACATGTAAACACTTGATACCATGTTATTTTTAGGAGAGTAATTGAGTTAAGTCTAGCTAGCTAGTTCAATACTATACTACATGTAGTTGACATATGGTGTTGGAGAAGATTATGTCTTGTTTACGTCCCGTTTCGTGTCTGGAGATTCTGGGAAACTGGAAAAAACAAATGTCGGATGGATGATTCCGAGAAGGTTGAGATTGAGAAAACCGAACGTAGTAACGTGTTCATTATATTAATGTTTTGAAACTGATGAAATGTTGTCAACCTAAAGCTCTCATCATGAGATAAATAATTCCTGCTTTAAAATGGAGGGTTAATGGGAGATCCGTTACAAGGAAGTCACATTGAGTGCTAACACACAATAAAACATTAAGCACAAATCCCGAACTCTATAGAAGACGTCGTTAATTCTTGAATTTTACGCATATTCGCGCGCTTAAAATAACAGTTAGAATTCAGAGTTAGCATAGCTCATATTGGTTGTTGTAGAAGCTTACAATTTTCTTGAGATGGTTACTTATCATTACAATTATGAATCATTTACCAAAGTGTACATGGACTTGACCTTGGTGGACCAATTATAAACAATTAATGTGATAGACAATGCACATATCTTAGGTATTGGTCAGGTCACAGATTTTTAATTGATGCTGCCATATATACATTAGTTATTGGGTTGAGGGGTCCTCTCTCACTCTCTCTTTGCCCTACTCAAATTCATTAATCTAACACCCACTTTCTTTCACTTTCTCTGGCTATCATTTTGGCTCACACTACACATTGTTTTCACCAGCAAATTTGGTATGCTTAAATGCAAGAGAGTTGCATGTTTGAAGGAATGATGGCAATCCAAATTCACCTTCTTCATGTTTGTCAACTTCTTCGCAACAAGAAGAGTACGTCCCTCTTGCTCATTGGATGGATATAATATCACCATATGGCCAGATAGTTAATTCTGTTTAATGATGAGGACAATGAGGTAAGTGTAGCGTAAGTTTATCGATTTAATGACGAGGACAATGAGGTAAGTGTAGCGTAAGTTTATCGAGTTGTTGGGAGAATGTTAATACAATTGTCTGGTTGAATTGTGATTGAGCGTTAGATTTGAATCTAAAGTTTTTTATTTCAAAAGGTGACACGCATAAAGAAAAAGTCAGGGGTGAATGAATAGTTTTTAGAGAATATCGGTCGAAATGAATGAAGGTGGATGTTCATAATCGTAGCTGGAGTTTGGTGTGTAGACATATATTTTAACTATTTTCACATAAATGGTTTATAATCTTTGTGATAAATATATGAAAACTACTGGCAAGAACAATTATGTAACATTCCCTCTTTCGATCAAACAAAGCAATAATACGAGCAGACTAATTTCAGGCCAATGTAATCGTTCAAACACGAAAAGAAAATCAAATATTATATGGTTTCCAAGTATAGTGGAGAAGTAAAATGATAAAAAGTAACCGCGTGAAAGCAATGTTGACGCAGCAATTTATACCGCAGCACTTAGGTGGCAAATTCATGCTAATTAATCATCATTAGACAATCCAATCCACATGATTGTTTCAGAAAATTAGTTGAAAAGGGGACTATGTTATTGTGCAAGTGCTCTACTATCAAATCTTTTGACGCTACAATTTGAATTATTGTGAGGTAAATTGTTTTTAGAGACAATGCAAACACCTCAACACATTTGAACGTACATATGGATGGGGGTTTGGATTATCCATCATTTGGGAGGGCATTAGGGTGTGCTGCACACATCATGCAACAATATCGATATAATCGATCACCTTGCATTCCAACCGCAACAAAAAAATCGCTTTTCCTCTAAATAATACATCTTGATGAGCTATCCGTTTCAAAACCCATCTCTATCGAAACCGATACCGTTCTTCTCGCGATAAACTATTTTTCAACAATACATCATTCGAAACACCCGATAATCAACATCCTTTGACATCATTCACCGCCCATATTTCAAGAGAAACTATGAATTGCACCAAAACTTGGATGATATATATAGAGGTAGTAAGTAAAGACTCATGAGCCCTTCCACACACCACCTCAATATGTCATTTTTGTTCATCTTTTAGGGTTTTTTGCCTCTCTTAGTCTCTTTGCTTGCTTGGGGGACCAAAAAAAACTTTGCCAGGTTTGGAGTGGACAAAGAACCAAACCACCATGAGAGTGGCAGAGAGCATCCCTATCCATTTTGTGGGTTTTACCCCTTTCTTTCTGCCCCACCGTGAAAACAACAGAACCAACAACGCATTGAACTTTAGCAATTAAAAATTAAACAATAATGAAAAGGGTAAAAAATAAAAAAAAAATTATTTAACCAAATGGGATGGCGATGGTGGAAATTGGAAAAAAAAGACTATTAAAGGAGCCAATCACATTGTCATCTCTGGGCTGGACAAAAAAAAAATTGAAAAACAAGTGTGCCATTGAAGCAAAGTTGGGCTTGGATCGGGAAAAAGGTGGGCCCAAGCCTCCACTTCAACGACAACAAACAACAACAACCTCCCATCCCATCCCGCTCTAAAAGCCACCGCCACGTCACCATTCTATTGATTCACGCAACAAATTCCCCTCTTTTCCTTTTTTTTTTTTTACAGAGTGGGAAGGGGGAACGGCCCGTGGGCCCAGACGGAACGGGGCCCACGTGATTGGACCGAAGAAGTGGGGCCCAAAAGGGGGTTAAGGAAGCACTCTCTTCTGGCATTATATTCCTTCCCTGTGAGAAAAGCAAGCATGGCCTCTGCCTCTCCTTGACAAAAGGGAGTGGGGTTTTTTTTATTACCTTTTTTAAAATTTGTTTCTCCCAATTACCCAACCAAAAGGGAGGAATTTTGGGTTTATTGATTGAAAATTTGATTAATGGAAAGGAAAAGACAACACTAATTGCCAAAGAAAGAAGAGGGACAAAGTGGAGGGAATGTTGCTAATTCCCATCACCTCTCAAAAAAAGCTTATAGAGAAGAAACCAAAAGATGGGAGGGAGAGAGGCATTTGACTTTGTTATATAGGCCTCATCATACACACTTGATTGTACTACTATGTGTGTGAGGATTGAAGCATGTTGCATAGATTGGTTCTTTCTTGGACAACCTTTTTGTGGTCTTGTTCTTGCACCTCCTTTTACTCTCTATTCTCTCCCAAAAATGTTATGTAACTTTTCAAATCAATTGAGGAGGGTTTAATCCTTTCGACTATGGCGGTGTACAAGTCGTTGAATCTTTGGAATGCTTAATTATACATGGGAGAAGGCTCGTAGATCATGGTTTATACACCTATACTGGTATAAGTGCAATTTCTAGGTCTTTTTCACGTCAGTTAAAGTTTATTGTGTCTAGAAATAACTGTACCAAACATATGAAGAATCTGAAATCCAATTGCCCACTTGCACATGAGTTTTCGAGAAACAATGACAGACACAAGTGGCTAAGAGCCATATAGTTTCGTCCCAGTTATGGATAGGGTTATCATGTAGGTCAAGGGGTTCATGAAAATGCATATGTTGTAGCTCATTACAATATTTACAAGATGAAAATCTTAAGCTGATATATGCAAACGAAAAATAAATAGTCCGTGTAAGAGGATAATATCGCTTAGTTCAAGTCGTTTTATACTAATTATAATCGCAATAAGGTGAACTAATGATAACATGACAACACAAGATTCACCAAACATTATGTTTGTACATGAAAGACCACCAATAATCTAAAAGAAAAAATTAAGGTGTTTGATTAATGTAAAAAAATTAAATATCCTCCACCAAAACTTTTTTCCTAGTCACAATTCACTTCTTGTATACATATACTTTTGTTATTCAATTCATGCCTTCATTCCCTCTATTTTTTTCCCTATAAAATTTGTGCCTTTTCCCCCTACACACATGGATATCTCAAGAATAAAAAGGAATCCCACCAAGTAAATATTTTAATATATCTTGCACTATATCTTTTTATTATTTTTACAAGTTGTAAGAAAATGGGTAATGATTGAGGCAAAAAGAGAAATTTCATCCGGTTTTGCATAGCAATAATTAAATGAAAATCTCCACATCTCTGGTTTATTGTTGCTTGTGACACAATGCAGCCACTGACTAGTGTCATGTGATGCCGCTCTTCTAAATACCAATTTTGTATAGGAAGTGAACCTCCATTTGATTCCAACCAAAGGTTAACAGTCACCTTTTTTAAGAACATAATAAAATAGTCTTCTACAAAAATTAAAGTGGGAAGATAACGTGCAAGGAGTTCATGTATACTCAACATGCTTGTGGAAGTAGATGGTCAAGTAGCCATCGAAGTCTTGTAAGTTCCTCGATTTCTTTATTTTGCGAGAAAGATTATTGAAATTCAATTATACCGATTCATCGTGAGCAACGATGGTGAAAAAATCACCTACAACGCCAACACAAATAATCATGTATCATGGTCCAGCCAATGCAGTCAAAATCGGGATTTTGATCGTAAAATCGTAGGATTGTAGGATTTTACTTAGGGATTCCGATCCTGATTTTACTATAAAATAGGTGGACCTTAAAATCGTTTAAAATCGGGATTAAAATCGTTAAAATCGTAAAATCGTACCAAAATCGGGATTTTGATCCTATGTGAACAAAATAGGTGGTTTGAGCCAATTCAAAAGAAGCAAAACTGTTTCGGTGGAAAGGGCAATGACATGGATCTTCTTAGATATTTTTCCTATTAAAAGAACATTCAAAATGAAAAAAAAAAACAAATTAGGTTTAGGTTAACCCCTTCCCCTTGTTTAACTCATCGATAAAACAGCTGTCATAATATTGTAAATACGTAAGAATTAACATCATCATTGACAAATAATTAATTAATGAATATAATTGTACCAAACTAATGACATTAATTATTTTATTTGAGTTCACTTATTCTTAGTTTTAAATCATGCTTAGTATATGATGTCGGAATACTACTTTGATTTAAACTACCTAAACACAACACGAAAACAAGAGTCAAACCCTACGAGCTATATCCCTTTCTCATAAATTATTTTGAGTTACACATTAAATAAAAATTAAAATGATGATTTTGGAACATTAATCTTGAAACTTATCATTTTAAATGTTATATGTCTTTGTGTTATTAATGATTTACCTTATTAATATTATTATATATGAATTTCTATATGGTACTTAAAATCCTACGATTCTACGATTCCGATTTTACCCAAGTTTTTTATTTTAGGTAAAATCCCGATTTTGACTGCTTTGGGTCCAGCAACAACATATTGTGTAAGACTTCATTGTTGATACTTGATAGATCGTTACAAGCTGAAAACAAGCGTCAATTCTGTGGGCATGGTATTGTTTTGACTTCTGATGATACAGTGAAAGTGCGAGAGGGTGAAAGGAAGCATAACCATGTTTACTAGCCGATTGTGTCTAGTGTAGTCATTGTCAAAAGATATATAGTCTGATGCAAACATTGGTTAGATGTGGATGAAAAGTCTCATGCCAGTATCTCCACTTCACGATTTCCACGCTTATACACTCATATATACTCGTTTTGATCATCCACTCATATCTTCACGTTTTTTGCACGCGGTACTGAAAAAATTTGTGTTGGAAAGAGAAAATCCATCCTATGGCTCAAACCTTCAATATTTAGATTAAAAATTGGCAAAACAAAACTAACAAACCTAAAACCGCGTTCCAATTTTTCTCGATAATTCGATCGAAACATTCACCTTTCACATTCACATTGACATTGCTCCACTTCTATACCCACCTACCACATCTAGAGTGGTGTATTCTCCCTTTAAACATACCCAACCAACCCCAATCAACATTCGAGTATGAATATACACATACATACACGTTGGGTTGGTAGATAGATAGATAGTTAGTGGGTTTGACCAATGCACAATGTAGTGAACAGAAGAACAGAGATTGCGATAAAGATACGACGACGACCACTACGACGACCACCCCTTTTTACAGGTGCAACTGTGAAAAGCAAGTGTAAGCACTAAGCAATATGCAAAGTGGAGCAAAAAAAAGGGCTTTGGGATTGTGGCCTTCTTTCCGGTGGGCCGCCGTGGGCCGGACGGCTACAGCGCCCACTTCCTCTGAGCCTAGACGACCTCTGTGGCTCTGTCTTGTCCTGTCATTTCGACGAACCAATAGGGACAAATCAGTAAATCCGCCGCCGGAAAAATTGATTATAACTATTTTCCGTTCTCTTTTTTTATTTTTTATCGTCGCGCCACGGAAAATACAATAAAATAATTAAAAGAGGGAAAAAGAGGGGGGAAAAAATCAAATTACGACATCGGTAAGTTTGTCGGCATGCGTGCAATTGAAATGAAACTGCTCTCTCTCTCTCTCTCTCTTCCTCCATTCTTTCTCTAGAGTAGAGTTTCTTACATTACCACACAACAGAGTTGGACTGCTCGAAATCAAAACCCTTTTTTTTTTACTTCTCAGAAGGAAAGTGAGAGAGAGAAGGAGAGGAGAGTAACAGAGCACTCTGACTCTGTTTGTTCAGCTCTCACTGCTGCCCATATTTCCCCCCACTACCCCTCAACACCTTCTTCTTCTTCTTCTTCTTCTTCTTCTTCTTCGTCGTCGTATTTATCAGCTGCTAGCTTTCTTCCTTGGGTTTTCTTCTTGGATGTGTGATTGGAGAGGAGAACTGGGAGAGAGAGGGAGGTTCTTCAGTAATGCCACACCCGCAGCCGCTGCTGCTCGGCTCTGTTGCTCCTTTGAGGGAGAGAGCCCTCTTCTTTAGCTGATTCACACTCACGGGGAAGAACCCACCGTAGGCTTTGCTGGTTTTGGGGAAAAAAAAAAGGAAATTGGGAGTGTGGAGGCTGAAACAGGGAGTCGAGTTTGGATTTTTGTTGAAAAATTATTCCGTTTCGTTCCTTTGGGGTTTTCCTCTTTTGTGTCTTCCTGAGTTGGGGTTTCCCCTGTTTCGTTCCTGTTGTGGCTAACCATTTCGTCGAGGTCTGAAAGCTGCAAATTTTTCTCAGATAAGTTCCATTTGAAGGGGTTTCTTCTGAAACTAGTTGGTTGCTCTGTTTTCACTTCTTTCTCTCTGTCTCTCTCTCGCTCTCTCTTTTTTTCAGCTTCAAGATTCTTTCTTACTTCACCTCGAAACCTCACTGCCCTCCTTTTCTCCTCTCTCTCTCTCTTTGTATCAATCGAAGGACGGAACTTTACTAAAGACCCAGAGAATCTTAACCTACAAGCCCTCATCCCTAGAACGGGGAAAAACCAAGAAAACAAGTCCAGAAAAAATCCAGTCTTTTCTCCCCCTCCTCTGTTTTTGTCTCTCTGTCTGAGTTGTGTTGGTTTCTGGTGGTGAAAAAAATGGCGATGATGGCGGTGGCGCCGCACCGAGAGAGCAGCAGTGGGAGCATAAACAAGCACTTGACTGACAGCGGCAAGTATGTGAGGTACACGACGGAGCAAGTGGAAGCCCTTGAAAGAGTCTATGCGGAGTGCCCCAAACCCAGCTCCTTAAGGAGGCAGCAGCTCATCAGGGAATGTCCCATTCTCTGCAACATCGAGCCCAAGCAGATCAAAGTATGGTTCCAAAATCGCAGGTTGGTCACGAGGTTCACTTTACATTTTGCAATTAGTATTATCAGCTGCTCAAAGTTGGCATCTGTTTTGGGTACCCAAATTGCGGCCTAGATCATAGCTAATGGAGCAAAGCCATGATCTTTTGCAAGTAGGTTTAGGATTGTTTACTGTGATTTGTATAATTGGCAGCTCAAAGTTTGAATCTTGTTTCCGTGCAAAATTGTGTTACTAGATCACAGTTTGTGAAATGGGGTTGGTGGTTTCGGGGCTGTGTTTGGGCAGGTGTCGAGAGAAGCAGCGGAAAGAGGCTTCGAGGCTACAGACTGTGAACCGGAAATTGACGGCGATGAATAAGCTGCTGATGGAGGAGAATGATCGGTTGCAGAAACAGGTATCGCAGCTTGTATGTGAAAATGCCTACATGCGGCAACAACTGCAGACTGTCAATGTACGTTCTCCTTCTTTGTATAATGCCCTTTTTTATTGATTGGGATCTGGAAATGTTGGAATTCTCTATAATGCCTTCTGTACTGATTTACTTTGATGCTGCGAATATTCCTATCATTCTCTGCACATATTTGATGCATATGTTGGAGGTTTGTACATGAGCAAGAAGAGAAGTGGTTGTGGGTCCGAATGTGCTTTGAGTATAGATGTATCTCAAAGGCTTAGTGGTGTTGTCCTAGCTCTAGCTAGTCTGATTGTTGTAGTGCAGGCAGTTTGAATGAGTGATCTATCCACTATTTTTCCTTTTCCTTTTTTCCGTCTTTATTCTGTTTCTGCTTTTGTTATGTTGTTGCTTTTCTTTCCAATACCGGAATTTGGCAGGGAAAGTGTCTAGTTCGGTTGAAATGGATTCTTCCACCTTTGATTGTCTCTCTGACTGACCATAAGGAGGGAAATGCCTGCTTTCTTTTTGCTTGTTTTTACTTTCTTTGTTGTTTGATTATTGTCTGGATGCTTCTGCAGGCATCGGCAGCAACTGATGGAAGTTGTGACTCCGTGGTAACCACTCCTCAGCATTCACTCAGAGATGCCAATAACCCTGCTGGGTAATCAAGGACCCTGTCATATGAAAATGTTCTTTTTCTTGTCTTTCCATTCCTGCTCTGGTTGCAATTTTGCAGCTGTGCCTAATCTGAAAGTGATCTTCTCTACATTTTCAGACTCCTCTCCATTGCGGAGGAGACCTTGGCAGAGTTCCTATCAAAGGCTACAGGAACTGCTGTCGATTGGGTCCAGATGCCTGGGATGAAGGTAATTAGACTTGTTTAACTCAGGCGCGACTCAACATTATTGCTGAAAATGCTCATCATGATATTGAGTAATTTCTTGTTTTAATGGTACAGCCTGGTCCGGATTCGGTTGGGATCTTTGCCATTTCACAAAGTTGTAGTGGAGTGGCAGCTCGAGCCTGTGGTCTCGTGAGCTTAGAACCAACGAAGGTATACTCATCACATCTTTGCTATTCAGTAGCTCTGTGTTATATATGTCTTTGAGGCCTTAAGCCACTAAAGAAATGACATTGAGTACCCTGCTTCTTCACAGATAGCAGAGATCCTTAAAGATCGTCCATCTTGGTTCCGTGATTGTCGGAGCACTGAAGTTTTCACCATGTTTCCAGCTGGAAATGGTGGAACTATTGAACTTGTTTACAGTCAGGTGAATGCCTTGATTCCTTGTGTTTTCCTGATTTCTTTTGTGTTTCTCCCTTTGCAATGGGCCTAATCAACGTTTGTTTCAGACTTATGCTCCTACAACCCTGGCTCCTGCTAGGGATTTCTGGACACTCAGATATACTAAAACCTTAGAGAATGGCAGTCTAGTGGTATGCATGCTGGTCTATGAGTTATTCAGTGTGTTTCAGTTTTATTTTATAGTTCCAGCTTGCTAAAGAGATTTTTGGTCTTGTGTTTCCTTTGTTTGGCTTTTTATTCAAGATCTGTGAGAGGTCTCTTTCGGGATCTGGTGCTGGTCCAAGTGCAACTGCAGCTTCTCAGTTTGTCAGAGCTGAAATGCTTCCGAGTGGCTATCTGATACGGCCTTGTGAGGGGGGAGGGTCAATCATACACATCGTTGATCACCTGAACCTTGAGGTTTATAAACTTTAATCTTCATTTCTTTAGGCAGTTTGTTCCTAGGATGTACTCAAATTTTCCCTAATTCATGCAGGCTTGGAGTGTTCCCGAGGTGCTTCGACCTCTGTATGAATCATCAAAAGTTGTTGCCCAGAAAATTACAATTGCGGTAAGCATTATATGCTGGATTCTATACCTTCCAGTCATATTACTATCTGTTGAAGATTCTGATTGATGGCTTTTGTGAAGGCACTAAGGTATGTAAGGCAAATAGCCCAAGAGACCAGTGGTGAGGTGGTGTATGGTCTGGGCAGGCAGCCAGCTGTTCTGAGAACCTTTAGTCAAAGATTGAACAGGTAACTTGGAAATAATATCGATCATGCAGTCTGTAACACTTTAGCATTTCCCTAGATTTCTGTATGACCATTTTTGCTTATAATGTTTCCACTTTCCAGAGGGTTTAATGATGCTGTCAATGGGTTTAATGATGATGGGTGGTCTATGATGGCGAGCGATGGGGCTGAAGATGTCATAATCTCTGTTAATTCAACCAAGAATTTGACCAGCACTTCTAATCCCGCTAACTCCTTTGCATTCCTTGGTGGGATCCTTTGTGCCAAGGCTTCCATGCTGTTGCAAGTAAGTTCGTCACAGTTATTTGATGGCAGTTATGTTTAATTGATAAAATTCTGTGTCTTTGGCCTGACCATTGGTATGCCATCTTTTCTTTTCGGCAGAATGTGCCTCCTGCTGTTTTGGTTCGCTTCCTGAGGGAGCACCGCTCAGAATGGGCCGATTTCAATGTCGATGCATATTCCGCTGCCTCGTTAAAGGCTGGTTCGTATGCATATCCAGGAATGAGGCCGACAAGGTTTACAGGGAGCCAAATAATCATGCCACTTGGCCACACAATAGAGAATGAAGAGGTATCTAATCTCTTCAATAGCTAACTTTCTGAATTTGCTGGATAGCATATAAATGGGAGCTATCCCCTTTAATCCCACCTGATTGTCAGTGCTGACTTAATTTTGCCCAGATGCTTGAAGTTATCCGACTTGAAGGTCATTCTCTAGTGCAAGAAGATGCCTTCGTTTCAAGAGACATTCATCTCCTACAGGTATTATGTCTGCAATTTTTTTTGTTCAGACATTTTAAAGTGAGACAAATCTTTTGACTTTACTAGTTTGGTTTTAAGTGTTTTACATGTTCTTTACTTATTAGAGCGTAACAATTTTCCTTGTGCAGATTTGCAGTGGAATTGATGAAAATGCAGTTGGATCTTGTTCAGAACTTGTTTTTGCTCCAATTGATGAAATGTTCCCTGATGATGCCCCATTACTCCCTTCTGGTTTCCGTGTCATCCCATTGGATTCGAAAGCAGTAAGTTCTTGGGTAGCCTTAAGATCCTCCCTTTTCACTTACATTATCACAATTCATTGTTTAAGGTATGAGCCGGTTACTCTGTGCAGAAGGATACACATGATGCCTTGAATACAAACCGGACCCTAGATCTCACTTCGAGTCTCGAAGTCGGTCCTGCAACTTATCCTTCTGCTCCAGATGCTTCATCATCTGGTCAAAATTTGCGATCAGTGTTGACCATCGCCTTCCAGTTTCCATTTGAGAGCAACCTGCAGGAAAATGTTGCCACCATGGCAATGCAATACGTGAGAAGTGTGATATCATCGGTTCAGAGGGTTGCCATGGCCATATCCCCATCTGGGTTGAGCCCTTCCTTGGGACCCAAGCTATCTCCTGGCTCTCCTGAAGCTCTTACCCTTGCTCAATGGATCTGCCAATCGTACAGGTAGGTTCCAAATTCAATTTTGGTTTCTTTAAAGAGCCCTGAAACAGTTGTCTGATCTTTGTTTGTTCCTTTCTCCCCTAGCTATTATATAGGAGGAGAGTTGCTGAGTTCTGATGATTCCTCTACTGGAGGAGAAGCAGTGTTGAAAAGTTTGTGGCATCATCAGGATGCCATCTTGTGCTGTTCATTGAAGGTAACATTATAAACCCTTCTTAATCAACATTCCGGTCAAGTTCAGATGATGCATTTAACACTGAGAGAGAATTGTCGTTGAAATCTATTTCCTTTGCAGTCCTTGCCCGTGTTCATCTTTGCGAATCAAGCAGGGCTCGACATGCTGGAAACAACTCTGGTAGCTCTGCAAGACATCACATTGGATAGGATATTCGATGAATCTGGGCGCAAGGCACTGTGTGGAGATTTTGCAAAGTTGATGCAGGAGGTATATACTATATGCATATAATAATAACCAATCTCCTTTCATGAACATCATTACATCAAAACATTCATTAGCATTAGATTGAAATTCGACTTCTCATATGATTGATCATGTCTCGTGCTGACCAGGGGCTTGCTTACTTGGCGGGCGGGATCTGCATGTCGACGATGGGTCGACACGTGTCGTTCGAGCAAGCCGTTGCGTGGAAAGTGCATGCCGCCGGGGAAGAGAGCAATGTGCATTGCCTGGCCTTCTCGTTTGTTAACTGGTCTTTTGTGTGAGTGAATGTAGGATGGTAGTAGGTTACTTTTGATGCAAGAAATCCTCAAGTCAAGAACAGCCGTGTCTTTCTGGTAAGCCTTTCATGTGGGAAAATTGAGAGAAACCAAAGAAAGCAACACAGGAAAGTAGAAGGGGAGGGGAGTTTTGTATGTAATATTTAAGGGTTTGCAATATTATATATCTCTAGTCAATTTAATTTAATCTTTTTTTCTTCTTCTTCTTCTCCTCCTTTTAGTGGTCATAATAAGTAGCTCATCCCTGCTGGAGTCCTTTTAATTTTTGGGGTCACAGCCGGAGAAGAGAACTGACCTTACCAAAACAAAATCGCCATAACAGAAATGAGTTGGATCATTTGCAGCTGCAGAAAAACCGTTTCAAAAGGGAGTAACTAATAAATGCACAGCTGAAAAGGTTCCTCTCTGGCGTCAATGGTGGGTAGTTATGAAGGCTTCAAGTGGTTTTCTTACATAGTTACCACTTGTGAGTCGCGAGATCCATCATACCGTGCGCGCGTTAATTAACAATTAAAAAATATTCAGAGTTTTGAAAATTCGAGCAGATGTCACAGGGACTTTCGAGATCGGGGGAGGTTGCTTACTTTTAGTTTAAAGTTCCCGCGAAAATGACAAGATGTCACTAGCAATTACCATGGATCGGGATAGTGGATATTCATTACCATCTCAATCATATTAGACCTATACTCCGTATACATTTGTGTATAAGTTTCGCGTACACACCGATTGGATTAGCTTTTTCCTTTACCATTTCAATTCATACTCGACAGCTATTTGTTACATCCAAACTCAGTCCTCGTATTCGTTCCTCGGCTGGTTGAATGGTTGTTGGGCAGGCATAGTTTTTTCCGCCATATCTCAATGCATTTAATAGAACCCTCCAAAGCTTCTTAAATTCTCGGTCGTTTCCTTTGACTTTGCCCTACACAAACAACATTAACACCATCAAAGACGACAACAGTTGCAATGCAACCAACAACGTAGCTTTCCCTTTCTCCAACTCCAAGTCCTCTGTTCATTGCTCCATATGGCAGAAGCCGGAAAGGACAGCCAGACATAAAGAACAGATCCCCCAATTTTGTAAACTGAAACTGACACTTCAGAACAACAAGTAATCAAACTCCTGCAGGCGGTAAGTTTTGACTGAACAGTAAAGGAAGATGGGTAAAAAAAAAAAAAAAACGCAGGTGAAATGCTCCTTTCTGTCTTTTCCCTTTTCACAGTCCATTTCCAGCGTAGAACAAGTTGGCTGGTGGAAGGAGTTGTTTCCGGGGTAAACCCCCACCTTCCAAATTTTATCAACTACTTGCTGTGTGTTCTCATTTACAAACAAAAATTAAGAAGATTACAACACACAGGGTCACTCTCTCGCTTGAAATTAGGGCAGCAACGACGACGGTGATTGTACTACTCGGTGCTATCTCGAGGCCAGCGACCAAAAGTTGAGAAGAAATGAGGGCAATGCTGTAAACCAGCTGATGAATGCCATCGCCGTGGCTGTTTCGAACTGTACGCAGTGGTTCTGCCCGCAGCTGCCGAGGTCGTTGTCTATGAGTACTGTGATCCCCGCTGATGCACACGCTGCTGCGAATGTCAGCGTGGAGGTGACCTGGAACGAAAGGGCAGGAAGGGAAAGAACATTAACATGAGTAGCTTGAGTGGAAATCTGTACACTTCAATGGGGAGAAGAATTAGCATGATCCCGACACCATGCATCACAGATGACAAATATCAACTAGCGACTAAGGGCCAAAGTAATTCAGAGGAGGATGCTCTTGGGGCACCATATGGCAGTAGTCTGAAAGGTCCTCTATGTTCTTGACCAATTCAAGGTTACAGCTAGTAGTATATAGTGTTTGTGATCTTACCCCATCGCCAATTGTGAACAGGCAGACAACTCGATGATTCTGCAAGGAGCGCATCACTAGGATGGCATATACGTCTACGATTGCAAGAGAAAGGCTCCACAGACACTGCAGGCCAGCTGCTGCAACAAGGTAGCTGATGGATAGGAGAAATCAGAATCCTTTTCTCTTCTTTCATGAAAACAAATATCAGAGAACCAAAATTCGTTATGATATGTTATGGGAACTAGCATCAGCAAAATCACAACAAAAAAATGTCTGGAAATGGAAGAGAATAGGAGGATAGATGGGACCATTTACAAGAAGGACGATGCAATTATAACTCAGCCCTCTACCAAGAGTTTCATGGGTTCATGAAGACAAGGACATGGTTATTAGAACTCAATATGACAAGTAATGGGTTGGAGTAATTTCTGTAAGTTTGCAGCTCATGCATATAAATTAATCGAGTTCAAACTGTCAAATCTTGCCTTGCGAAAAATCTGTGACGACGAATTTCTAAACATCAAAGATCCAATGATGAGGAAGCTGATAGAAGACTAGAGATAAAAAGAATGGATTGATACTTAGACTAGGCATCAAACGCAATTCATCTATCCGACATCTTAAAGCAATTCCTCAATCTGAAGGAATGCACCAATTCGAAGTCTTGAGTAGTCCACACTCAGTACTTCCAAGCCATATTTGTGCTAACAAAAACTCCATCCCAGTGTCCCAACAACAGTTCTAATCAGATTCTCGTATATCTAATGGGAGGCACATTCCAATGTCAACCAGTGGCTAAGCGATTCGTACCAGAAGGCAGTGACGGAAGGGAAGTCGCTGGTGGTAGCCATGACAAGAAGAGCCGCGGTGGCAAAGAAGAACTGAGCCACTCGCAGCGCCAGCCCACCTTTGGTCCCTGGCATCCCTTGCAAATCCTTCATCCGAACTCTCGCCGGAGCATTGTTGTTGTTATTGTTCCCGCCGTCCGTCGTGGGCGGATCTTCCACCGGGTGAACCGACGCATGGCTCACACTCATCTCTTCTCTCAATTTCTCTTCAAATCATCACCACCGCCACCACCACCACCACCTCAGCTCAGATTTCCCTCCACCTGTATCATCCCGATTCAGATGCTGCCGTTAGACTAGCCACCAGATTCATAACCTCTACATTTTTCGCCTGTTTCGCTCCCGAAAACCCCCACCAACAGACGAAAACGAAAGGGAGAAAAACCGACAAGCAAGCAAGCACGCACCTACTCAGCTTCCAATATGCGTCTTCTTTACACAAACTCCTCGGGGTTGAAGCTAGCAATCTGAGCCACAAGACATCTCAGCGACAAACCTATCCCTCGTTTTCCTCCAGGTAACTTCAATTGCTGGGATAAGATCTGCGCACAACCGACGAGCAGCGCCAGTTTCAGACGGGAGTTCTCAATTGAAAGCAACGAAGGAAAAGAGTTCACGTACCTAATTTCGGAGGTAGAGAGAGGACGGCGGCGCTGAGATCGGCGATCGAGCTAGAATAAGGAGTAGGCTCAGTGGGAAGGTGAACTTTATAAAAAAAAGGGAAGGAGGTGTCAGCGGCGGAAACAAAAAAGAGGGCCGGCTCGTCGAATGAGCTAAGCTCCAGCTCCAAGGGTGTAGTCAAAATGCGATGGTGAGATCCGCCACGCGCCGCCGGTATGGAGTGTGCACGACACGCGACGCCTAAAGCAATTTCTCTCCGCCGGGGCGGGCACGGCGTAGTGTTGTTGGTGGGAAGTTGGGAAGACCTTTCCGCGGTCGGCAATTTTGGTTCTTGACGGGCAGTGGGGTTGTGAATTAACGTCCGCGCTACGTTTTGTTTTCTTTCATAATTAGGATATATTATTTTATTCAGAAAATATACAACAATATATTCATTCGTGTTGTTTTCTTTTTTGGAAATGGGATAAATAAGCCCAGACAAATGAGGGATTGGTTTTTCTGAGCCCAGCTGCTAGTGGGTACTGGGCTGGCGGTTCTTGTGCAAAAGAACAAGGCTTTGTAGGCCCATATGTGTTTCTAATGAGGTGTATTAGTTAAGTTCTCCTCCTTTGATCTCAATACAAAATTCAATGGATGAGATGGAAGAACATTGGAAAAAATAGAAAGTTTTTCCCCCCTAGAAACCTGTTAAAAGTGTGCTATTATAGGGCTGGGGAGGGGAAAATGAGTGTTGTTCCTGGGATTTAAACCCGAGTGCTCCAATTGAAAACAAATGGCACAATCACTCACTCGTAGCCTCGTTCGCACGAAGTTAGTCACCCCGTGACTCTTGGTTTGTGGACTGTTTACATGGTTTCTTTCTTTCAAGCTGGTGACATCGAATGTCTCTGTTCACCGTGTATGTATGTGTTTCAGTGCACACGCATGTCTATGCTTCGTATCGACTTAAATGTCGAAAGTCTCACAATTCTCAAAGTATTACTGTATTGGTTTCGAGACACTTAATGCATTCATCTCGAGCTGCAATGCAGTGAAGTTGTCACTCTGACAATATGTGTGTTGCGTGTATATGCATGTTGATGGCACAGGTACTTATTACAACCCTATATTTTTTATATCGAGTCAAGTAGGTCCGAAATAAAATGGATCTATTATTATAAGATTGCTCATTGCTGTAAAAGTTCCAGTTAATTAAGTGCATACATACCAGCATTCCTCTTAACATTACGATTCTTGGTCAAACACCATGCAATTAGAGTGGTAATTAATCTCGAAAGAACAAACCAAAACCATTAAAACACCAACAACTAACCACCTTCAACAAAATTTATAAGCAAACAGATTCCATCAACCCCATTGACCATTTACAAAGGAAAAGCCTATAGTAATGCAAACGGATGGCGACCCACAAAATCTAGCTAGTAATGTCTGATTCGAGTTCAATTATCACAAACGAAAGCTTCCAAAGCAGTCCACGTTCCCCAAAACCTTCCTCTCACCAGCTACCATCATCTTTGTTCCATTATTCATGGACATTTAGTCGTCATTTTGGGATCATTAAATTTCTTAAAGAAAATGAACTCCAAAAATATGACATGTGTTCATATGCTGCTCGGTTTTCCAATTCACGGCCACAAATTTTCCTTCTTGGGAAGGAAAAGAAGATGTGGCTGTGGTTACATTAGAGGGTGAAAGAAGGCAATTAAGGCGGGGTTGGTGATGGAATGTGATAAGAATTATTCAATAATAAGTGAGGTTAAAAAGTTAGAGAGGGTAAGGGTTATTCGTGAGAGCATATTTAGTCTCCGACTAGGGTAGTGAAGTGTTTGAGTCTGGAATGTTCCAGGCGGTTGATGAAGAATGAGCAAAGCGTCTGTTCCAGAGGGCGGGTGTACTCCAAACTTCTGCAAAACAAGGGTTCATGGGCGATCACCCCGCACACCCTCTGATGCTAAAGTTAGAGAGAGAAGAAAATGGTTTTTTGTTTTAGGCTTAGAGAGAGTAGTTGAGTTACCATCAATGCAGATATGAATGTATTTATAGTCGGTTAGCTCGCGTATGAGGCATTAAATGCCATGTCAGGCGCCCTAAACACGCTTTGCTTTATCTAGACCGCCCGTCGTGGGCAATTAATGCTCAGTCCTGCAGTATTCGAGGTGAGTATCCTAGGAAGATCTTCTTTTCCTGCCACCAACGGTACTTTGTGTCGGGCGGCCTACTCCCTGTCCCATCATAGAGTGGCCGCCTGCCATTCTCCTTTCCCTACGTCCCTTCTCTGGGCCTCTCGGTGTGCCTCGTTCGAGTCCCTCTTTCGGGCCTTGCCTGGTCGACTCCTTATGGGCTTTAAGCCCAACACTACTCAACTATGGGGGGTTGGTGATGGAATGTGACAAGAATTATGGGTAATTAGCATAAATGGTCACAAACCTTTGCACTTAGTACAAAACAGTCACAAACCTTTAATTTGTAACCATTTGATAACAAAACTTTTTTACTTAGAACAAAATGGTCACAAATTAAACAGTGTGACCATTTCATACCAGTTCAAACTTTTGTTATCGTGTCGTTGCAAATTAGACTTTTGGTGACCGTTTTGTACAAATTAATTTCAAAAGTTTGAACGCTCAATCACCGTTACAATTCACTCTAGTTGTATGGTGGTTTTGTTAATGTATGTGAATGATATTATGTTGTTTAGGATGACAATGAGAGAATTCAATGGCTCGTAAACGGGTTCCAGACTGCTTTTTAGTTGAAAAAACTATGTCTACTTTCTTACTTTCTTGGTATCGAAATTGAAAGGTCAACTGAGGGCATTCTTATTCGGCAAAACAAATATGTTGATGAACACATGACCTGACATCTTATATGTCGTTCAAGTGGTTAGTGTCATATACTTAACGAACAAACTACCCGACCTCAAAACATGACAAACATTTAATTTGTAACGATTCGGTAACAAACTTTTGCACTTAAAACAAAACGGTCATAAATTAAATATCGGTGACCATTTTATACAATTTCAAAGTTTTGTTACCGTACTGTTACAAATTAAAGGTTTGTGACCATTTTGTACTAAGTGCAAAGGTTTGTTACCATTTATGCTAATTACCCCAAGAATTATTCAATAATAAGTGAGGTTAAAAGTTAGAGAGGGTAAGGGTTATTCGTAATAGCATATTTAGTCTCCGACTAGGGTAGTGAAGTGATGAGAAAACGAAGATAAGTGGGTCGTGATGACAATATGCAGGGATTGATTATAATGTTTTGGAGATGGTTGTTCAATACTCGGGAATAATGGTTGTCATGCGCCCGGTTGAATCGGGTTCAACCTGTACTGGTTATGAAATTGGTGTGACACTACTGGCATCATGATCGACTTACGCATATACCAACGGTCGTACCATTCCACTTGTCACACATACACACACTGACACAAGGGTATATAAACCGGTTTGACGATATTCGGGATGTATTTTTTGTCTTGTTGTACGTGACTCAGACGGACATGTATTGTTGGATATGGGTTTTCTGCATCGAAGGGTGTATGACACTTTCTTTGCATAATGGCTTGCTGCTAGAGATGTTTTTTTCAGTTGCTGTCTCGAGAAGATTGCCTCATCATATCATATGTGGTGGGTGATTTTGAAGTAGTGATCCGTCAACTTATCTAAGGTGTGGTGATGGATTCACTTGGAGGTCCTCTGCGCTTCGGGAGAGTAGTCAATTAGTTTATTCTTATCCATTTTTGTGCCCGTAGAGTGGCACGTTAAAAGCCCGTTATTGTTCTCTTTATAGTAAGTTTTCTTTCTTCGTTTTTATAGAATGGTTTCACTAAAATGTTGCCTTGGGGGTTTATGAGTAGAGGTTTTTTCTAACTTTTCTCGGTTGTTATATCTCGAGAAAAAAAGAAGTTTAGAGAATAGATGACGGAGGAGGACGAAGAGAACTCAGAACCTTTGACACTGTTGTGGAGCGTCGTGAAAAGGAAATGAGGATGACATGGACAAGCGAGGGAGGAGGACAATAACATGAAATTATTATTATTAGTGTCTTGGGAAAAACAAAAAAAAAATCAAATATGTAAAGATGTAATCCAAATTAAATTAAAGGGGGCAAAGTAAACAATGAAATAGGAGAGAGAAGAGCGCGCAATGAGTTCGTCAATTTACGTGACTAAATCATAAAAGTATTGTTCGTCGATCTTGATCCTTAGATTACCTTTCCTTACATACCTTCAGGAGAATCAAGGATTGTGGATCACTTTTGCTTAGCCATTTGTAACTGATTATCAAGGAAACAACGGTTTACCGGATAAATGGAAGGGTGAGAGAAAAAGAGAAAACGCCGAACCAAGGCCCATTCTTTTGGCGGTTTGTAACTGATTATCAAGGAAACAACGGTTTACCGAACCAAGGCCCATTCTTTTGCCGGTTTGTAACGGGCATAAACTAACATTGCCGCCAAAATATACTGCTTATTTAAGTGGTACAATTACAACACTTAAACCAGTTGCATACTACACTTTCAAGATTCTTCCAAATAATCTCACAAACACGATTTAGCAAAATCAACACACCACTCATTTTGGCGTTTCCTAACGGCTAGTTACTGACAACAACCGCCAAAATATACTTCTAATTTTAGCGATCCAAACCATCATCATTCTAGACCTTAATCGAACCAGCAACAACCCTCCCGCTAAACTGAACACACCTACAATCCTTCTCAACTCATTCCATTCTCTTCTTTCGACTTATCGAATCCTACATCAAGTTCAAACCGAACCGAACCATCGCGGACCAACGGCATATACTTCCCTCATAGAATTTGGGGTTGTTTGGGAATTCCGGAGTACATCTTTTGTACTTTATCTCCCCGTTCTTCGATATGAAAATGAAGGAAAGGATAAACAAAGTAGAGAGAGCTAAGAGTTAAAAATGAACAGAGAAAAAGAAAATTAAAAGAGAGACGAAAAACAATTAACCTCCTGGCTGGCTGGCTGCTATTTGGCAGCTGCCTTTGCCTTGTGCTTTTTTCACCCTTCTGCACCTCTTTCGGCCCAAATTCCTTCTTCTACCTCTCGATCTTCGCGGTCTGGTCTTTTTCCGATCTCTCGCCTTTTCCTCCCCCTCCGTGCGGCAAAAAATTAGGGTTTCCCACCCATAGCTGAAAGGCGTCACTCAGCCAGTCTACTTCCCCAGCTTCAGCCCCCCCAACCTTCTTGAATCTGGAGCTCTCACCTTCAAAGATTTCTCCTAGGGTTTACAGATCTGCACGGCTCTTTGTGCTTCAAGATTCTGCTTGCTGGTTTCTTCTCTGTGGTCCTGAATCGTAGTCAGTCATGTTTTGGAAGCTGCCTATTCTCTCTGCTTCCTCTCC